AAAAAAAAAAAAAAAAAATCACAATAATAAATAAATAAATCAAAGGCTTCTTTTTCTTCCCGACACCCTCAAACCAAAGACAGTAAAATAGAAAAAGAAGCCTCTAGTAGAAAATGAAAAAAAATCCGTCAAAGCTTAAACCCGACGTCCTTAAACCAAAGGCAGTATATAGAAAAAGGAGTATCAGGTCGAAAAACAAAAAAAATGTATCAGAACCTAAACCCGACACCCTTAAACCAAAGGCACTAACATAGAAAAAGACCACTGTAAAAAATTTCTGAAAATAATTATTTCAAGTGAAAATTGGTTTAACTACGTCGTCCTTTTTTTTTTTTTTGAAAATGCCAAAAATTTGGGTGGGTCGGACGACGCTAAACGGAGAAAAAAAAGACTGCTGTGCCATGTGTATTTTTCCCGGTAGATAGATGTCAGGAAGGTGGCGTTTGGGCTGCGTTTTAAGTTAACATACGCGTGGTGCAACACTGAAGAAGCCGTATGCACCCTAACAACCCACCGAGTACCCTGGCTCCAGAGGTCCATTCTCAAAATATAGTTCTAGGAGAGAGATAGAGAAAGAGAGAGAGAAGAGAGAGAGGAATAAAAATGAAACGTCTGGAACGAGAAAAGCGTGACCGCCTACAGTAGATTCCAGTTCCCATCGAACCCGAAACCCCAAGGGACTTGACCGAGGTGTGCGAGAGACTTGGCTGGCTCTCTATTTTGGCCGGCCGGTCACGAAAGGTCAGCTGGTTTTTATAATTTTATATTTTTTCAACAAGGGACTCGACGTCCTTGAAATGACAGACCCTGAAAGAAACGCTCTTCTCGATGACGAAAAATCACCTTCTAACAATTCCGGTTGCAATGAAGACAATGCCTGTTCGAGTTTTACTCAGTGCAGAGTTTACAAAAGGAGATGGTACATTCTATTTGTCTTCACGATGACCTCGATCGTGTCCAACATGATGTGGAATACGTGGGGACCTATTCAGCGACCCTGTCGGCTTGTATTTGGATGGGAAAGATGGACAGTTCTTCTACTGTCCTCGTTAGGAGCGATCGGGCCTATTTTAGGTGCTTTTCCTTCTACATGGCTAATGGACTCTAGAGGTGAGCCCCCTGCTTTAAATCTTCTCCATATCTATTATTAAGCTAAAGTGCTTGATTTCAGACTTTAGCTATATGCACCGGCAATAACCTGCACCCTTCATTGTTGTCTTACGTTTTTCTCTCTCTCTACGGGTGGAAAAATTGCAGACTTAAACAAATCTAGAGCTTTCATGGTTTATTTCATGGTTGACATCGGCGATATCATGTGATGCGCATTAGTTTCGATTTCGGTCTTTAAATGTCCCTCAGGCTAGGGGGCTTACGTGTCTCGGAGGGTCTCCCATATGAAAGGGGTGGTGATGCTCATCAGAATAGTAGACTGGTTGTTTATTACCAGTGAAAGGGGGGTGCGATTAATTTTGCTGTTTTGCTAGGGGTGGAGGGTTAGGGTTCATTTTTTTTTTTTTATAAGGGTGGGAACGTTCGAGCGACTGAAGCTATCTGTTCAAAGATAAATTTTAGCCGCGTTTCCTTCCAAAAATAATTTCGTCGTTTAAGCCATTCATGTCGAACGATCTGTCATTCTTAGGAGAGTGGCCACGTTTCTAAAGTTTGTTTACAAACGCATCATGAAGACCATGAATACTGTCTCGGATCTCCGCTCCTTTGTAACCATCTTCGCTTTCATATTATCATTTGATTATCGACAGTATCGACAAAAATGGTATTTTCATCTTTTACGCTTTTGTAGTTTATGAGCCAGCGGAACGAAACTTTCATTTTAATTGGTTACATTCCTTGTTCACTTGACTGTTTCTTTATCACAAAGAAGTTACAAAGAGTTTTTTCCAGCACGTTGCACTTTGCGTGACAATTTTCTAGCAAATGAAATTTTACCGCAAACTCAAATATGCAAATTTGGTAGAACGAAAGTCGATACTCACACTGTCTTATCGTGCAACAAGGTCCTGATCTCTTTGTTTATACTTCTTCAAGTGGTGCTTTCTTCTTGATGCAGTGAGAGAAAAGTACAGTTATATTTCCCACGCATTTCATTTGCATGTGGCTAAGAACTTGTTCAACAATTTCTTCATGACTTGAGCGCATAAGGAATTCGCTTATCTGTCGTAGAATTCAACAGAAAATACATGAAACTCACAAAATTTGCATGCTAGTGAACAAAACTACTTATTTGTTCACTTCAGATAGCAATAATTCCAGGGGGTGTGTGAAAATTTTGGAAATTCCGGAGGGGAGGGGGGTACATTTTGGGGGTTGATTTTGGAAAATCTAAAGTGGAGGGGGGTCATACGGCAAATCCCTTCTGTTGGGGTGGTATGGATATTTTCTGGTTGTATTTAGTATCTTCCATGATAGCTCCATGTTGTGTTTTAACTGGTGGCACAAGTAGAAGTAAAAAGTCTATGTAACTGCATCAAAGGGGGTTTCGTTATCAATTTAATATAATATTATATTATTTTAACATTAAGTAATCATTAACGTATCCTCTTGTCCAGTCTGGATTAGAGTCACTTGAATTTTGACATGTTGTAGCCTCCTTAGATAAACATTTCTTGGTCTACTTATCTCAGTGTTTCTTTTAGTTTGCTTTTTCTTTTCTGTTTGGGAATTCAGCTCAACGAATTCTATAAATCCCCCTAATGATTGGAATCTGGAATATAATTTAGTACCTGGAATCCAGAATCTACAGTTGTGAAATCCAGAATCCAGTTACTTTGTCTTGGATTACTTTAAATGGGGGGATTTAACCCCAAAGGCATTCAAATGTTAATAATACTCACACTGTAGTAATATTAGGAATATGTTTCTACTGCTGCCAGCTTGTCCATTCCTTGACTTTACCCTAGTCTCCCACGCAGCCATTTTTTGTCTCGTCATGGCAACCCTCCTTCCCAAGAAATCATGAAAGGGATTGCATGGTTTGAATGTGAGCAGCCATTTGCTGGGAGAAGCATTTTGTAATGAGACAAAATGGCCATGAGGGAGGCAAACTTTACTCCTTGGCCCTTTGTTTTGGTCATTATTTTTATCTTGAAATAAATCTTGTTTATTTAACTTCATTTTCGCAGGACTAAGACTTTCTGTTTTGGTGACATCATCAATGTTATTAGCAGGAAAACTTGTCCAACTGATTCCAGTTAGTAACATTAAAGCCAAGACAATTTTTATCTATATTGGTCATCTGATAACCATGCTGCCAAGCTTCATTGCTAATGGTGCTCCGCCGCTTGTTTCAAACACATGGTTTCCGCCAAATGAGAGAACGACTGCAACAGCTATTGGGGCCCTGGCTGCAAACTTTGGAGCTGCTCTGGCATTTTTCATCGGGCCATCAATGATACCAAGCACATCGGACAGCTCTGAGAATAGTACAAAGAATTTTTCTAAAAAATACATCCATCTCTTGGAGTCAAGAATTATGGATTATTTTTATGTACAGGTCGGATTGGCTGCATTTCTTTTTTTGTGCGTTGTGATTTATTTTCCTTCCAAACCACCACTGCCACCCAGTGTTGCTGCTTTTACAAGAAAAACTACTGAAATTGGCTACAAGGATGGTCTGAAGATGTTAATATACAACAAATCCTATTGGTTACTTGTGTTAGTTTTTGCTTCATCCTTTGGTATTTACTTTGGATGGACATCAGTGCTGGATCTTGCAGTTCAGCTATTCAATATAAGTGAAAAGAGTTCAGGATGGCTTGGAACTTGCTCTAGCTTGGCTGGAATAGTATCAGGTGTGATTATTGCAAGGTAATAAATTGAATTTCCATGTCTTTTTATGCATCCTCAGAAAACCATACACGCACATTGAAAACTCATATTATGGTTTGTCACCCGTAATTACCCCTGACTATAATTATAAGAAGTACTGATATTATAAATAGAGAATGTGCAGATAAATTTTAGATTCTTGTCATTAATAGTTTGAAAGCTTAAAGGTCACAGTTTAAAAACTGTAGTGCAGACTGATTATTTTATGGTAAGTGTCAAACACTATTTAATAGTTCTTTTTGGGTTTGGGTGTTTATGATCCATGAATTTATTAAGAAGGCTGTGGCAGGGGAAAGACAGTGGAATAGATGAGTATCTCCTCTTGCCCTCCTAACCCTCCCCTCCCTCTTTGGCCCTTTTGCATTGTTCCCACACAGGACACACATGAAAAGAGAGTAAGCACCTGCTTGGGTGGCATGCAACAAGAGAGGACGCCCCAGGATGAATTTGCACCATACAGTGGATAGCTGGGAATTGTAGCTCATTGACAAAGCCTGGAATGATTCCATCAGGCTTGGTGTCAACCATGACTGCTGGAGTGCTTTGCATGTATCAGAAAATCCCTGCGGAGGGAGGGGGGGGGGGAAGGGGGAGGTACTCCCCTGAATTTAGTATGGGGTTTACATGCGGATTTTCTGAGACTCGGGAGCATGCTGGAATTGGAACGGATGAATATTGGAACAGATGAATATTGCAACCTGGTTGCAGACAAACATTTTCCCCCCAACAAGAAAAAAAGAAAAAGAGGGACGGCCCGGGTTGGGTGGCAAGGAAAAAGAGAGGACCGCCCAGGTGAAATTTGCCCCAAAAAGTGGGTGGGTGGGAATTGTAGCTAATTAAAAAAGCCTGGAATGATTCCATCGGGGTTGGGGTTAACCATGCCGGCGGGGGGGGTTTGCATGGATCAAAAAATCCCGGGGGGGGGGGGGGGGGGGGGAAGGGGGAGGTACTCCCATGAATTTACTATGAGGTTTACATGCTGATTTTCTGAGACTCTGGAGCATGCTGGAATTGGAACAGATGAATATTGGAACAGATGAATATTGCAACCTGGTTGCAGACAATAATTTTAATAATTTGAATCCTATTCCTGCCGCTGGCTCAGTTACAAAGTGACAATGGGAAAGTAGTTTTGCACCTAAACTTGATTGTGAATAATCATAATAATGGCGAAAAAAATCAACTATGTTCCAGGGAGAAAATAATCAATCATTTGTGAGTTAGGATGAATATGATATGAAGAATTATGCAGGTCGAGGATAATGCCGGAAGGGGGGTGGGGGGTACTCCCCAAAGTTTTACTTAGGGAGGCTGCACCCTTAGATCCACCCCCTTACCCTTGTATATATTATTTTTAACAGAAAAGGTATCCCTTTCATATACCTTCAACTGACTAATCAACTTATACTCTGCCCCTTTCCCATACCTAGCTAGATTAGAACACTATATCCCCTTTCACTGCTTTAAATAATTCTTCTTTTTGATTTGAATGAATCACTGCCAGAAAGTTTTCTTGTCTCTTTCGCATCCATAAAATGCGTCTGTCAGTAATTTTTGGTCCTTTTACGTACAGACAGAAATGAGAGATTTCCCTACGCTTTCATATACCTCAACTAATGAAATCGATCGCTACCCTTTCATATACCTGAAGCCTAAAAAAGGTACAATGTAACCCTTTCGGGTGGACCCTCTCCACCTATACCATTGTAAGGAGTATCCCCATCCCCCAGAGCAAATGTTATCGGCCGAGGTGGATACCAGCTTCCGAGATCAGCGTAATTCTTCACATCATATGAAAGCCTAATGCAATAATTGTTTAAATATGTGTAAGTTCTGAACAACCTTACTTCCTCGTAGGCTTTCTTTCTTGATTTTTGGTACCCTTTTTCAGACAGAGAGGCAAAAGCTATCAGTGATGAGTAACCAATTATGGGAGTACCCCTGGGTCAAAATCAAACTGTCAGTTAAAACACACATGTTATTCTACAGTCCTTACTGATATATCTTAAGGAAGAGAAATACAGTCATGGGAAGCTAATTTCAAAGATAATGCATTATTATAAGAAACTCAGAAGGTTTGATGAAATTAACGTGAATTTCAAACTTTCGTGTTAATTTAAGTCGCGTTAATTTCGGTAAATGTTAATTTCCGCGAGCTTAATTTCCATTATTTTGGCCAGAAATTCTCGATACACTTGACCCCGTTAAGAAAGAGGAGTATTTTGTCAGGGTGGAGATCCGCTAGTATCAGTACCATTGTGAAGAACCCTCGAAGTGGCCAGATTTCTGCGCTTGACTCCCTTCATACGTTTACGAAAAGTGGTCACGAGCAAAGTTTCCATACGTGTAACTTTGTTCCTGTATATTGTCTCAGCAAGTTTTGTTTCTTTGTGAACGTCGCGTTAATTTCCTTCATTTTGAAGTGATATCCTCTCTTTCGCCTCAATTTCCTTTTCTACGAAATTCGCGTTAATTCAAGTCGCGTTAACTTGAATTTGCAACACCTCAATTTCATGGAGCGTTAATTTTCTATAACAAGGTTAATAATATTAATGATATTATTATTATATCTGTTTACAGATCTGCAGACATCGTGAAACGCTGGACCAAAACTATCTTGGTGGCCCTCTACGTGGGCACTGTACTATTTCAACTTATTTTCACATTAACTTGCTCAAAAATCTTACCATTCTCACAAGGACTGCTGTTCACGTCCATTATCTGTAGTGGTTTGCTGTTCAACGGAACCATCCCATTAGTGTTCGAATTGATTATGGAGTGTGTATTCCCTGTTGGTGAGGGCACTTCTGTTGGGGTGGGATTAGTTCTGGGAAATGCTGTGATCCTTTTGTTTGATGTGACTTTCATGTTTCCGATAACTGATGTTCGTTGGATGAACTGGGTCTGTGTCGGAGGTGTTACTGCTTGTATTCCTTTGTTACTTCTGTATAAGGCACAGTATCGTCGACTTGCCGTTGATGTAGAATAATGTAGAAATAGCCTTAAATAACAAACCTGGACCATTATTAATTTTTGGAATTTATTTGATCTAAAAATTGTTTTAGCTTTTAATTTTGAAAAAAAGAGAGAAAATAAGAATGAAGAAAGAAAAGCAAAACAAAACAAAGTAAAGCAAAGCAAAAATAAAAAGCAAATAGCGTGAAGAAGCCCCATTTAATTTTAAGTTTTGTCGCCTGTCCTCTAAAAATATATATCCCGGGAAGTACAGTCGACTCCCGATAACTCGAACCTTCAAGGGAAATCGAAAAAAGTTCGAGTTATCGGGAGTTCGAGTTATCGAGAGTTTGAAGCAAATAACCGGAAGTAAGGAAATAAGCAAATGGATGGGAAGGAAAGGCAATTAAGCAACAAAGTATACAGGAATGGACACTGAATTTGAACTGGAGTGACAAAAAAGTAAAGACAAAGAATTGACTCGGTTGTTTTGAAATAAATTCAATGTTTCGGACTTCAGAACACGGTTTTTTTCCCGACTTGTCACTCGCTTATAACATGGTTCGAGTTATCGTGGGTAAAATTGTATAGAAATGAGCTGAAGGGAAACAAAAATTACTTCCAGTTAGCGGGAAGTTCGAGTTATCGAGGGTTCGAGTTACCAAGGGTAAAATTACAGTAAATGTAAGAAGGAAATCC